TCCACACCTTTTATCGGAAGGCTATAACGTGACAATACATCATCGCAGAACAGAAATCGACCCCTGAACATAGTTAGGATGAACGGATCAATAAATTTTTGTTACAACCACATATGAGTGCATAAAACACCATTGCAGTTTTCTTATCCATTTTTCGCTGTTTACGGCTGTAACTTTGAGAATAGATAAAGTAATAATCAAGGTAATTTTAGTATAAATGTGTTATTTTGGCCAGGAGATATAATGCTCAGAATATATATAAGCAAAACAATGGTGGGAAAAAAAGATTACTTCTGATTGCGGGAATATGGTGCAATAACAGCAGACAGAAAGAATGTATATGGTATGAGTCACTGAAGGAAAAATTATCAATATTCGTGTAATGTGGCCAATGAAGAAAGAAAGGTTCGGTATTGAAAGTTTATTATTTCGTCGTTTGGTTTATCATGAGTCAATGTTTTCTTTTTGTCTCATACATGACCTGTAGAAGCTTACTTTTTGTTTGTTATGTACAAAAAAGCGTATGATGTGTGTTTATATCTCTCATGAAATTTCAACATTAGAACTTTTTCCTGATGATATTTTCCTAGAATTATTTTCATTTATTAATCCAATTGATCTTTATCGTGGTTTTATTAATCTTAATTCACGTTTAAATAATATTTTAAATGATATTCGTATACGTATTTATATTATGAATGATGATAATTGTGAAGAGATTATCAAGCATGTTTAAATCATTTTGCTTATCAAGTTATTTATCTTGCTATTGATTGTCATTGGTCTCGCTTGTCTTATAAGATAAATCTTCAACCATTTGTTAATCTACGTTCACTTTATTTACCTATGCCAACTGATGAAAAAAGTTTAGAAATTACATCGAATAGTCTACCATTTTTAACTAATTTAACCATAAATGACAATACATTTAAATCAATTCTATTTGGTTCAAATTTATTTTTACATCTTGTTACATTGTGTGTTCCATGTATTTATTCATCAATTTTAAATCAAATAGAATCAATGCAATTGTGTTTAACTCTTCATTCTCTTTATTTAGGATCCTGTACAATTATTAATAAATTGAATATTCTTCCATGTTTACCAAATTTAAATTCTTTAGACATTGTTTTATTACTAAATAATCAAACTATTCGTCAACCTGATGTAAAACATCATAATATATCTCATTTAAAAGTTAAACTTCGACAACTTGATCCTGATCTTGAAATTTTATTAAAATCATTGCCTAATCTTCATCGACTCGAATTCCTATGGAATGAAGCTCCTATCAAAAGTTGGCATAGTGGAACAAATAGTTTTAATTTTGAGAAATTCTCTGATGTTCTTGAAAAGGGGTGTGGGTGGGTGTGGATGTGGGTGTGGGCTTATCTCTTTTGAACTCCCAGATCCACACCACACCCACACCCTCAATAAATAATAGTTAACATATTGTCAACAGTTTATATTTTCCATCTCGTTAAATGCAGCAAAAACCATCGGATATAAAAACCATTTATCAATTAATATTCATTACAGAATTCACGTAAGTTTTTATATAAAAATAAATACAGTAAAAAACATCTTCAGTTGCATTTCTAACGAATGATACAGGCATAATGTATTCTCAGATATTTTATAATACAAATAGGAATATTCTAAAATTTATAACGCCACACTTGTATCGTATAAATTGTCTAAGTTTTATTGAAAAATAAATAAATAAAATAACAAACTTAACAAACTTTGTTCGATCATTACTGTTTTAACTTGAAAATCAACGTGTATGAAACTGATATTGCATGAATTTCAAAAATTATCGACATTTTATGATATGTGATAGCAAAAAGTTATTAATTCACGTTTGCTATCTGCACTTTCTAATCTCATGTAAATGTACAAAATAAAAAAGAACAAGAATTTGATTTCGGTTTTATGATTTTCTGCAAACAATTTTTAGTGGATAGATATAAAGTGAGTTAAGAGTATTAACACAGACCTTCATTTTTATTACTGTTATTATACATTTGTGACCTTGTAATTCAGAAATGTTATTCTAGATATATTCAAAACGATGACAAATCATTATGCACTCACTATTTGACATGAATTAAGATTTTTCCTATTCCCTGTGATCTTTCTCTGATTCTAATTTTCTCTTGTTTTTCGTTATAATCATCATTCAAACCAAAAAGAAACTGTTTTTTGCATCCTTTTTCGATTTTATATATGAATGATTAAAACAACAAGAGCGCCGGTGTGTGGATGTGGGCGTAAGTATGTATGTAAAGAAGAACACCAACGCCAACACACTCACACCCTCGAATATTAATATGAACCCAAAATCACGATTACAGTACAGATAGAGCGTGGGTGTTGATGAAGATAAAACACAGAACCACAGCCTTAGCGCAGTAAGTCATGATTCATGTAATTCTCAATATTGAATCGATTACAAACTATATACACTCGTGAAGCGTTATATTTCTTCAGGAATCTTTAAAATTGTTCGACAATAATATCTAGTAGAATTCCATTTAATTAGAAGCAAATATATCATAATATTAAAACACTCTTTATCAAACGATTGAGTATGTGAGGGTGGGTGTGTGGGTATGGGTATGGATATGGATATGGACTTAGTTCATTCAAAGCCACACCCTAAATTTGAAAATTGTAGATGTAGGTTTGAGTGTTGATATGAGTATAAATCCGGTAAGTTTTGAAAGTGTGAATTTGAATGGAAGTTTTCACTGAGCCCACACTCATATCTGTCGAAGTTACTTGATATAGGATTGAGATCTAATATATATTGACTCACATAACGGAATGTTCGTTTTTTTTTGCTACACTTTAAGTATTTCTAACGGGGATTAATTCCTATACTCTATTTGACGAATACAAATCGATTAGCTGGATTTTCTCAAAACCGAGGGTGCGAGCATAATTTACAATGATCGCTGAATAACAACACACTCATCCTATGCAAACACAGTTTATTATAATCGTGCTTGGTGGAAGTGACAAATAAGATGAATATTGTGATATCGTCTCTCACTCCCATATCATATTATTTCATTCATCGCTCTCTAAAACGAAAAGCAAAGTGCTGATTCTTGGAGATGTTTATTACGGTATGTCGACACCGAATTCATGATAGATTGAGCACGCATTTTGTTGAAAGATCGAATTTCAATACTAGAATATCGGATATCACTTCTGAAAGTTAATATTGTTATTTCTTCTCACTGAAATCGAAAAGAAAATGATTGACTCATTTAGAGATTTTGAAGCCAAGCACGAATTCATCGCTGACATGATACACGATCTGTTATTGCAATAGATCGTAGCTTAAGGAGGCTGTCTCCTCCCAAACATATCCTCAAACTTTGCCAGTTTGTAGAGAATACCTTCAATGGTATGGCCATGCAATAAAAAAGGGATGGCAAATGTTTGACGGCGTTATTAATTATGTAACTAAATAATTAATTAAATGTTTTAGTTTGGAAAGCATTTTTAAAAATCTTTGTAGTGTTTTATGTGAATGTTAATTTCAGTTGATTCTGGTATAGTTTTGTAGAGAATCATCTATAAAAATAATTCCACAAAACAAAAAATGAACTTTTGTTGTGTCATTTAATTATTAATTAGTTATAATTAACGCTAATTAATAGCACTCTAGTGTGGAAAGTTCGTTATCGTAACTTTAGAGTAAGCCGAAAACATTCGTACTATACATCGTTTAATAGAGCTCGAAAACATCTATCGATTACACCAGTCATCTTTTGTGGGAACTTTCATTTTCGAAGAAAATCACTGGATATAATGCATAGCAAGATGGAGAGTGGGGTCTTATTTGGTAATTTTAATCATCATATATTCGTTTATGACCGAAATGGGTGTGGGTGTGTCTTTTAACAAAAAATATCCTCACCCTCACCCACACCTACACCCACACCCCACCCACACCCTCACCCCACACCCACACCCACATCCACACCCCACACCCCACATCCACACCCACACCCACACCCATTTGGGACACCGACGAGCGACTAGCTGGTGCACTGGAGAGTTCCTTTATGAAGAGGATTAAATTATAAGAATTTAAGAAGAGAATCTGAAGGGGTTAGATCTGATGAGTTTCAAAAGACACTCAAAGTGAGAAAGAAGAAGAGATTTTTTGTATGTATTATGAGACTGGTTCTTCTCGAAGAATAGAATATAGTGATATCCTGCTGATGGAAAGCATCATTAAAACAATTGAACTCGCTTCATTGAAAACGAACTTGAATGGAAAAGAATTAGTTTTTTGATTCGTATATTTTTTTGTATATTTAGAATGTGCATTTACTGAAGTAGATCATCAGCTAAAACAGTATGTGGCTTTTTTGATTTTGCATAGACGTATGAAAAAGCAGAGAATAATTGGCAATTGTGTAACTGTTTACGTGTTATGAAAATATTTGTCTATTGAGTGAGTTATATGTAGTTACTGTGGAATGGTTTTTGGCTATTTATCAATGATATATAGGGGATAAGAGTGAAAATACTATTGAATTTAGTCGTGTTTAATACTTATAAGAAAGGTTCTTTCGTGTTTTTAAATCAATGATCTGAGGAAGTATATACATGGATAGGCGTGGGTCTCAAACGGGGAACTGGTATTAGTTTGTCATATGATATAATTCCTATTATGAAAACTTATACTTTTAAGCTGGCATGTTTTCAGGAATTCTGATATGTGAAATGTCTAGCTACTGTTACTCGAAGCAAATAGTTTTGAAAAGATATCTGTGAATGATGTCGTAGCTTTTGTATCACATGAACAAAAAGAGCCTGCTGTTCAAGTGCACTAATGTAAAAGAAGAACTTAGCCGCGGCGGATGCCCTAACGGGGCACCAGTGAACTGTTAATGGTTAAGATTGGAAACATACTACAGACTGATCTCACTAAAGGTCTTTGTATCGATCAGACATTTTGAAGAATAGTGCACTAAGTTTTCCCTAGTGATAGCCTCAAAGAAAACTCTGATCTTCCAGCTATACAACCAAATTGCGAAGATGAGAAATAATCAATGAGAAAACATCTGTTTGAAAATTTCTGTCGATCATTCTAACTCTTTTGATCTGACGAATTTTTGAAATAAGTAAATCTTGAGACAATCGGAAGTAAAATACAGAGGGATAGTGTTATGAAAAGATGGGATTAGACTTGGCAACATCTAGTCGCTCATGGATGTCTCTCCGGGGCGCCATTCGCGGCTAGCTGCTGCACTGGGTTAACTCCAGAAGTGCCGTTTCGAAGTGTTGGGATTCATTGAATAAAAGTCAACAGTCGTGGTAAAATGGGTCTGAATAAGGAATATCAAATACAAAAAGTCGAAAAAACTATGGCAGGTCAAGGATGAGAAATCGTTTTCATGTTTGAACACAATGATTGAAAAGTTCGTCAGAACAGAAGCATTACTGGAAGAATTTACATTTGCTGCATCGGTAGTGAGCATGAATGAAATAAAAGAGTATTTCTTTTGGTATACTTTTTTCTTTGTATTCATTCAAATATCTGGATGTATGCTGATATATTCATGTATCCTGTC